CACTTCCCTGCCCACCACTTCTCGCGGTCATTCCTCAGACTCTTGATGAGCTGGCATTTGAGGGATTTGCGCGTTGTCATATGTGGTATCGGGAGGGGGAGTGTACTGTGGGTGTCCAGCAAAGCAGCCGAGGTCGATGAGATCCATCGTCTGCTTTTTCAGTTTGCGGCAGCGTCTGACATTGTTTTTATCGGTATTTGCACGTTAGCTTCCAAGGTTCATTGAGTCCTTCGGCTGGTGATTGAATTGATAGGCGATCGGAGAGCTCCGCTTCGAAGGTCGATTTGCAGCAAAAATCGTGCGTATCCGTTGTCGGCGACTTGGTGGTTGCTTGCGTAAGGAGTTCCATTTCGCCTGTTCGCCGAGCTTGACAATTTGTTTGCAAACGTTTCATCACCAGCCGAGGTGACATCATCAGTGCTTGTCAAACTCGGCGAACAGGCGAAATGGAATTCAGTTCACCCGAGCTACGAGAACCGATTTTCAATACTTTGTCAACAGGCGTAAGGAGTATTTGGCTGCTACCAAAGCGTGATCCCACTGCTCGTCTACATCACCAGGTTGAGGCGCACTTAGCTTACGCACTAGCTCTGACTCATAGAGTGCATGAACTGCTGGAACAGATAATCGATGATGAGCTATCCGAGTTTCCTGGTTTTGTCGGCGACCAGTCAGTCGGAGAGTGAACTGCATCAAAACTAATGCATGGTCAGACTCAACATAGATGGTCCAATAGACCTGCAATTTTGCACTGAGCCACGCCAACGGTAACTTACTGCTATGTGGTCGATTTGAGTTAGAGTAATAGTTGAACTGGAGCACCACGTTGCCGTCCGTCGAGAGCTGTGTCGGAAGTTGGTGCTAGATAGGAACAGATGGTGGTTTGCGCAGAACTGAAGAAGTCGATCGCCATCATCTGTTCGTCGGCAGGGCAGAGCACAACTACCTCCTAGGAAAGCTTCAGATGCGCTCAGTTTTTCAACATGCGCGTTTAAATCACCTGCAAGTACAACGGCTGGTTGTTGAAGAGAGAGAGAATTAAACAAAGGTTGCGATATCTGAGCCCACTTATCACTACTCATCCCACTCGACGCAATGATCGATTNAGTTGAACCCCAAGCCTGGAGGACCAGGAGACTGGAATTCGTCTGATCTTGATGGGCTGTCCGACTCGATCGAGCAAACATGATTCATTGGTTGACGTAGTGGAAATTATCGAATGTAATTCCAAATATGCTCAAGTGCGTCTGCACTCAGCTTTCTGCTGTCGTATCGCAACCTTTGTTTAATTCTGTCTTCAACAACCATCCGCCTCTGGAGAGCGCACTAAAGGGACTCCAAAACGTGGGTATTGAATGGGCAGCTGGAGGAAAGCTAGTCAGGATTTAGTTATGGCGGATTATTTTTCCCACTTCGTTACCAATGACGGTAACGCAGCAAAAGAGATAACCACCCGCATTTCCAAGGC